CTAACGAGTCTAGGGAATTGCTTAGGCCTACTCCCTAACCAGTAACCCTAACCCTAACCATATCAAATAGTTCCTAGGGTGTTCCGACAGTAACTAGGGAGACATAGACCTTATCTCTGTAAGTTACAGACAGGAGTTCATATAAATCAGGCTATTTATACATACAATTTTTTTTTATATTTATAATATAATATATATTAAAGCATAACACAGTGTTGCACAGCAGAAACGAACGCGACACAAAAGCTGTTGCTGCAGCCATTGCATGCGTCGCCCCTCAGATTTCTGTAACAACTGATCAGGTTCTGGAAGGAAACTTTCCATGGCTAGTTGAAGGAACTGCGACGAGCAAGTTGTTTTTAGATATTGTTCAGTGTATAGATATAGATCTATAGATATTACCGAGAAGCAAAATCTAAACATTGACCAGAGAATGAATAATTGAACATGATACCTGTCATATGTAGATTAAAAGTGTTTCATTTTCAATTCAACACAGGTGTGGCAAACCAGCCAGGTCCAGGGTAGGGTGCGTCGCGTGTTACTTTCATGTTTGTTAGCGACCCTGCCGCAAGCAGGGTATACTTCTCGGAAGCGGAAAGGAAAGCGCGCGCGCGTGTTTCAGGCAAAAAGAACTGGTGTTGTTGTCGAGCAAGAACTGATTTGAGGGAGACGCGTGAAAGTTTGCAACTGGTGTGGTTGTCGAGCGAGGACTGATTTGTGAAAGGCGCGTTTTACTGTAAGTTGTCATACCCGTTCTTTGTCGTTTTGGCCATTTTAGTGTTTACCGGCCGCTAAATAAACGCGCCAACTTTGTGGCCGTGCGCTTAACGTAGCTGTTGTACGTGTATCTTGCATCTTCTTGCGTATGTGCGCACATCACTAACCGCGGCGACTAAGCTCACCTCACAATCCTGTGATCGAGTATGAAGGCCGGCCTGTAACTGCCGGTGGGGTTTAAAAACACAACGCAGGGTAGAAATCAGAAAGACTAAGAGGTAGAAAGGTTACAACAGGCCACACAACACGGAAAAGAGAAAAGTGGCTGAATTGCATCAGAAGCTCATGTGTCTCAAGGAGGAAATGCTCATCCTCGAGACAGAGATGAAGCAGTTCATCACGTACTATGAAAACCAGTTGGTCAAGTACATGTACTTTGATTTGACCACAGACTACTGTAAGCATTCATGCCACTATATTATGTAGTCTTCTCTAACACAGTGGTGTTAGTGTAAAGCAACAGAATCTATACGAGCCTGTGTTTGTTTTTGTTTTGTTTTCTAGTTGGTTGCACTCATGGAGAAGCATGCAATTTTTATTGCATTGGCAAAGATCCACTGACTGAAAAAGCACAAGCGGGAGCAATGATACTACTGCAAGCAAGAGAAGAGTACATCAAAAAACAATTACAAACAGCACAGTCCCTGTTTTAATGTGCTAACCACTGACTTAGGGGGGCCAAAGACCTTTTTGTACGCCACATTATAAATTGATTACAGGGTATGCCGTATGCAGTGATGATAGTGTAACATATTTCTATTCCAGGAAGTTTTTTCTATGTGTTTCCTTCATTATGATCCCTTATGCTATTCTTGTAATATTATTGCAAGCATTAGCAGAAATATGAATAGTTATCTGCATACATTTACCGTGACATTTTTTACTGGAATTCAGTTGTGAATGATCACTAGGTGATTTGTAAATTTTTGAAATGAAAAAAAAAATATTTTGCTTGTAGTGATTTTAGATCGCTTCTTGTATTTAACAAGAACTGTCTAGAGGAATTTTCAATGGTGTGAATAGTGTGGTCTGACAATATTTTACCTAGAATCTCTCAAATAATTAAAGGTATATCCTTTACTCTATGTTCTAGGGTTATGTTAAGTTAATCTAGGTAAAAATTACGCTACATAAAAAGTTTCATGGTTCAATCACCATTAGATATAAGTCACACCTAAAGCAATGTATTAGCTAGCAAGTCGTCTCCGACTTTTTCAGGAGTCTGTTTTCGTATTGGGAAAAGAATTTTACTGGCGACACCAATTGACTTGTGTGAATACACTTATAACGTGCAAGTTTTTATTTCTAGTTCATAGAAAATTGACATTTTATTATAAGAAAGTGAGCACTTTTAACAGAGTGGCTAAATGCCTGACAGTTTTTAATATCTGACAGCTGACGGGCACAGTCTTCGATTTCCTAAATGCCCGGCTGTTTTTAATTTTCAGCGTTATCTCAAGTAAACAAGGGTTAGGGTTAGGGTTAGGAACTGCCGAGCATTTAGGATATCGAAGACCGTTGCCGGCTCCCGTTCATATATAGCCACAGCGCACTTTTAATTGCATGGTGACTGTCGTATGTAAAATAAACACTTCATTGTGGATGAAAGAATTCTTACTTCACGTTATAGAGGAGAATTTTAATGCAAAATTCTATAAGATAAGATTATTTTACAAAAGTATTTTGAGTATATCTACTCTTGCAACCCTTTGTAAGTGGAAATATATACGCATAATCTGACGGCATAGGAACAATTTATTAGTTGCTAGAAAATGCAGATGATCTGACAAACTATTATTTGTAAAAAGTACTGCATTATATATGGATATGTACACAGTTAGCTCTGGTAACTATAGCCCGCGTACAGTTGCCGTTGGTTACTGTACGCGGGCTATAGTTACCTTAAAGCTATACTGTGTCCCATCACTGAGATTTTCCTATTAGTATTAGTATTACACATCGAATTACTATAGCTCCAAGAAACGGTCTTAGGATGGAAACAAACTTAAACTTCAGGATGGAACGGGTCGTAATGTGTGCAAGGCATAGAGTACCGAAGTGTGACGTCACGGTGGCATGACAACGAACCCACTGGTTCTACGCAACCCACTGGCTCCATAACATTAACTGTGTGAAAATGTTGTGCGTACGTAAAACACTAGTGTGTGTGCTGCAGACAGCGGTAAAGCATCGGTAGCAAGTCGATCTTACAATATTTAAGGGTATGTTTAATTAATTTTTTATTTTTTTTATTTTTTATTTTTTTCCCATTGCTTTTCACTTCCATCCTTTGGAAATCTATAAAAACTGCAATAATGACTCTCAGAATGATGGTTACAATCGGGTACAAAACACGACACGCAGTTAATGTTACCAGAACATATGATTGTGTAGAACCAGGCGTTCGTTGTCATGCCACCGTGACGTCATCACTTCAGAGCTCTATAGTTTGCTTCTACACTTGGTCTCCCGGAAAGAACCATTACCAACTGGCTGAACAAAGACACCATCTATAATGAACAACAAGCGCCAGCCCCGCCAACTCAATCTGGACTGAAGACTGGTAAGTACAACATAGAAATGTGCCGCAGACCCTAATAATGACTGCTGGCAAAGTCTAGTTTGACTCTAATTTAATAGATTCATAACAAATAAAACCAGCATTAAAAGTGGAAAACTGCATTCTACGACACTTTCTTAATTACTGCTTCCTAGTGTATTAAAAGCCTTAGAATGTCATGGTCTGTATTCTGTTGATGTAATTTGTGAGTTGGTTCCAAACTTGGGGCCCTGTTACTGGAAATCCAGAAGGCCCAGTCACCCTTGATAGAGATGCAACTTTTCCAAAAGAACAATCAGTATTTTCCTATCTCTTTCTTCCAGGCAAGAATGCAAAGCTGCAAACTGACGTCAAAGATTTCGTTAAGGACTGGTTGAAGGACCTGCCCACTGTTGATTCGCACTACTGAAGAAGCACAGCGACCTACAAAGACAAGAAGTTTCTCCACCCTGGCACAACCATCGCCCAACTACACCGGGAATATCAACAGGCAGCTGCAACTGCTGGAGTGAGGACCGTTGGGATACGATATTTTACAGACGTGTTCCATGAAGGAAAGTATTCCGTATTTATTCCCCACAAAGATCAGTGTGATGTAATTGTTTCATTCAAGCACGGGAATATCAATAAGGCTGAATATGATGCACATGTGAACAAGAAAGATGAAGCGAGGCAAGAGAAATCCCGTGACAAGGATTCTGCGGACAATGCGAAGTCAGTTTTGACAATGGACTTGCAAGCCGTGCTGCTGTGCCCAAAAACCAAAGCCAGCAGCCTGTGTTACAAAACAAAACTGCAGGTCCATAATTTTACTATCTTTGACTAGAAATCGAAAGAAGGTTAGTGCTATATTTGGCATGAGTCAGAGGGCGACCTGAGTAGCGAGGTATTCGCACACCTTCAACATCGCCATGTTGAAGGTGTCATCAAGGACCATCCAGAACTCAAGGAGAAAGTAGTGTGGAGCGATGGGTGTGGTTATCAGGGGCACATTGTCAGAAACTTCGTAAAGCTACGATTAATTTTAAGTCTAATGTTAATGTTAAGAGAAAAGTTAATAGCGTTGACAGAAACTAAACTTACTTAAGTGAAAACTTACGAGAACCGGAACTGGCTAATTGTTAGTTATACCGCATTGCATTTTGGGAACGCAGACGATTTGTTTACATCTGCAGCCGATCAGCTGATTTTACCGACTCACATATCGACAATTTCCTTACATGCAATACTGATAATTACACATTTTACCCGTTGTTCAAAGTTATTTCAAATTTTTAATCAATTGTTTATATTAATTGTTACATAATTACTTATCCATATAACTTATTTTGTATTTATTATTATTACTAGTACTATAGTAGTAGTTAAAACTTGAATTTTGCAAAGTGTACTGTGTAATTTTGGGTAACTAAATGGAGTATGAGCAACAACAGCAAGGCGGAGTAAAGAAAGAAGTAGGAGAGCATGTAAGTATACTAATAGCACTACATGTACTGCTATTACTACCTTATTAATACTAAATTTTAGAAACATATCGAGTTGTAACTTGTTTTGTGACGCAATAGCCAATAAAAGTGATAGAATGTTATGTATTATAACTATCACTTAATATTATTACATTATACATTTGATAATATCCATTTAATACTAATAGAGACGACCTAATTGGAGGCCAGAGGAAGTCTCGGTATTAACCGAGGCTTGCCTCGAGTATCAGGATGTACTCCGAGGAAGACTGTCAGCTCGGCTCACCTTTCGACAAAAAACACAAAGTGGGAGATTGCCTCGCGAGTAAACGCAATCAGGATGTTGGCAAGAAGTGTGAGCGAGGTAAATGTTTTTCGACGTTGCTGTAATGTGTGAGGAAAGGTGTATCCGGGAGGAAAACTATCAGCTCAAAAAATTGCTGGCTCCACAATAACCATTGCTAGTCGTTTTACAGGGTAAAAGCGACCAGTGAGTCTTACGGTGTGGTTACACAATAATGCGCGAAGACACCTTTATATAATAAAAATTATAATTAAGTAATGACGTAGTATAATCTAGATCTTATTTTTACAGTGCAAAGTTAAGTGGAGTAACATGACGACGGATGTTAGGAAGAAAGAGAGGCACAACGTGGCCGAAACACGTCGAACAGGTGCATCATAAACGTTCATCAATTGAATTTCCTTACATGCGATACAACGATGATCAAAAAGTGATTAACGATGATCGCAAAGTGTTATCTCCAGCGATAAATGTTTGCGTTGGTTTGCGATGTTACACTACTTGCTCCGCATTTTGCGGTTCCGCATTTTCTGGTAGCTCCGACTACCGGACGTCCCGCTTATTTAGGTCAACTGAGTTTGCGTTCTTCTCGTGGCGGTAGCTGTGTGGAGCGGGTGCCTTTTCAGGTGCTCCCGGTGAATCCTGTCCAACCGCTCTGAACGTGAGTTATTTTCTGTTATATGAATGCGGATAGAGGTATATTTGGTTTAAGAACAATTTATGTTCGTGATATTTCAATGGTAAAATTGTGTCAGCCGTACGTTAGTATTTGTCGTTATCTTGCGTTGGCGTTGTGTGAATTTTCTATGTAAGATACGTTACGTACGCCATATTATGACTGTTCGTTGATATATATTGCTAATGCATTGTATGTAGCCATTGAGTTTAAGTAGCCGGGATATAGTCTGATGTAGAGTCGTATATTCGTTGCAGCCCGGGAAATGGGTACCTGTTATCTGTTGATGTAAATTTGATGTGAGGCCCGTGACGTATTCGAGGAAAGGCTTCAGCGTTTTGTAAGTAAATTGGACGGTTCGCGCTAAAGTGCAGGTAGCCGTGATATCAGAATACCCTGGAAGATATGTCGGAATATTAGTGTATCAGAATACCCCCTGGTAACATATGTCGGAATGTTTGTCATGGGGCGCAGAATATGTGTTACGTGTAGCGGAATGTTGCCGTAGGGCGCAGAATACCCCAGTAATATATGTCAGAATATCCAAAGGTTCTATCGTATGAATTAGAAGTGAAATGGAGACTTATCGCGTGTGCAAAGTTGTCATTTGTTAGCAGTGTATCGGTGATACCTATGTAATGTGCGACTTGATTTCATTATTGTGTTTGTGTGTGTAATTTAAAGTTTGTAATTTCTATGTGTTACAGTCTACCATCACGCGTCACATCATTACGCCACGTCACGCATTACCATCATGCGTTACCATATGCGTAGAAAATAAAATGGCTGGTTGAACCGCAGCCTGAGTCTTCATGTTCTTCCTCGTTTCGGCGGGCGCACGTCACACAAAGCCTATTGTAAAGACGAATAGTTATGATATTAACACCCTTTCCTTAACGTTAAGATTAAGATGAAGGTTATAGACTAATTTTATTTCTGACATCGACACCCAGGAGGAGGATAAGTATGTCTGACAACATTATCAGATGTTGAAGCAAAGATTTTAGAATGTTTCATCCCGCCGGAAAGCGTTGCTGGTGTGACGGGAGGGATGGAGATATCGGGTAAATGTTGCATATATATTGTCATACTAAAATTTAACATTAAATGTTCGACTATTTGTCTGTATTTTAAAGTTTCACTACATTTAATGTGATAGGCCCAAGCACTGCAAATGCTGATGGCGTTGCCTTCATCGACATGATGACAGCGATGACAGACATGACCCATGAACCTCCCCCGAAAAAGGCCAGAAAAGTTGAAAGTAAATAATCCTACTACTTAATATTCCATTCATTTACAAACAGTATAAACATTTTCTTGTATCTCATATACCTATATGCAGTGCCATCATAATCATATATTTAAATTACAATTCTTCATGACGTTTCAGTACATGAATAGGTACATTAACACATATTATAATTAATATTACTTACAGACTCGTTTGAACAAGAATATTTGGAGATGAAGCGACAAAATCAGATTGACAGGTACATGTTAATTAGTGGTCTTGGTGGCAAGCTGTACTATGAAATCAATTCTTTTAACAATTTATCCCCTGGGTGACACAATAATATTTGGCACACCAAATGTCTATAACACATAAAAATATAAATAATGTAAAACAATTTCTTTATCCCATAGGAATAGAAGACACCAGGAACTGGTGCAGGAATTAAAAAACATCACTAAAGAGTGTAAGCCTTATAAATATAGTCTCTCTCTCTCTCTCTCTCTCTCTCTCTCTCTCTCTCTCTCTCTCTCTCTCTCTAGTGTGTAGACCATCCAGGGTATATAAGTAAATAATGAGT